TACAGTGATTTCAAATCAACAATAAGGTGTAGTTTATGAAAATAAAAGTTACCTAATTCATCACTGATTCTCCGTACCTATCTTTTCGGAGGCTAAAATTTTATATGTAGGTTCATTTTATATTGAAAGCATGTTCGAATATTCCAACTGACGTGCCAGTAGATTAGTAGATTGAAATGAAAAAAAAATCTAAAAGGAAAATCTCATTATTCAAGAAAGATATCGATTGAGTCAGTCAATGTTCTAGCTGAAATGATGTGGAATACGGAAAAACCATAAAAGACTTATAAATTTCACCCCTTGGTCTTCAATTTCGAGATCAAACTTCAATTTTTTTATGTCCCTCATAAATCGCGTAAATTTACCGAAATTCGATTTTTTTTTCTCATATGTTATAATTTTTTTTCAATAACAAAGGATAGAACGGAAAAAATAGTGGTCGCAAGTTGAAAACTATTGAAAAACAACAAAACTATTAATTGTCAAAAATTCGGCTTCATTGAACATTTGAAAATTTCTACAGACGTACGTTCGCAATATTAGGATCTGAAATTCATGACGGAGGCTTCTCTTTTCACATAGAAAAGTTGGAATAGCATTAGCGAATTGAGGAAAAAAATTGATATCGTTAAGCAAACAATGCATCCTAAAAAATGGAACTGGAACTCCTGACGAAAAATAAATCTAGAACAAGCATTTTTGATATGTCAAATATAATGTTTGTTTAAAATTGAGGTATTTTTTCGAGTTTTTCTTAGAATCAAAACGAAGTTTCCCACACTTAAGATGGAGAATAAAAAACCAAAAACTTTTTGGAAAAAAATGCTTGTTTTAGTTATGTATTTCAAACTGTAAGAGAAACGTTTCAAATTGACGCAGAACAGAATTTGATTAGTGCACCTGTGAGAATTAAAAGTTTTAATCAGTCCCTTCTTCGAAGTTCAAACTCATCTATCGTTTCGGAATAGTTATGAATTGATTGAGTAAAACCGAAACACTTTAGGAACGATACCAGAACTGTTCAATAAACCAAAATGATTTTTGATAACTACATTATCCGAACTGTACCAAACTGAGTAACAAAACGTAACCTATAAGGATATAAAAAAGAGGAACATTCGTGTTATTCGGAGTTTACAAAAATCCATTATTTGATCTGGTACTGATCCAGCGCTGAAAAACTAACTCAATTTTGAGAAAACAAATATCTCAAAAAATTATTACTTTTTATGATTCCTTATATTTGATTGAATAATCACAAAGATAATAGACCAAAACGAAGGAGAATCTTTTTGCAACATATTTCGGGCAACAACTTTTCTGAAATAAGTTGTTGAGAAATAACTGAAAAAAGGTTATTCGAACTATTCAACAATTTGAAAACTAAAAGGTTCTGGGGCCGGAATGAATTTTTTTTCTTTCTGGATATAATATGAAAAAAAAACATATTATTGACCTTTATCAAAACGTATAATCTAGGTTATCTCTATTTTATTACGATTATTTCCGTTTGAAGAAATTTGTTGTGCATCAAAACTATTTTTCGGGTTTGTTATATGTTGTTTGCAGGTCTCTTATGTCTTGCGTTTCGTCCATAACTGCGGTAGATATTATTAAAGGCGATGAGGCAACGGACGAAGTGCTTTAGTTGTCCTAACATGATTTTTGAAATTGTTTCACTTATATCTGAAATTTTGTTTTCAGGTGGTTCATCTGCTCTACCTCCAGGGCTTCCTAGTTCATATTACAAAGGTTTCGAGGGATGTATCCAGAAAATTTCAGTACATACGAAATTATTGGACTTGTTAGCCAACAACGATATAAGTAAAATCCACTTTTGTCACGATAATGAAATTTAACATTCAAATCATATTTTATTCTTGAGAAAATCTTCGCAAAACTAGAGATTTGGAACTGTGAGACTGATATTGTACTCCTGACTTCTCCACATTGAGAAATATCCCAAATGTTTGAGATGTTATTCAGATGTATATAGATGTAATGTCACAATGAATATTGTGAAAATCATGTTTGAAGTTATTTAGAGCTCTTTTACGCCCACGAAATAGACCATGAAATTAATGATAATAGTAATTTTGATCCTTTGTAATAAATACATTAGGTAATATTTGTGAATACAGGGTATTGGTGTTTTCAGATTATCATTATCATTTTTCCGTTATTGACAAATCATAGGTTTCATTATTCGAATTGTGATAGTGAGTTGAGTTCGAATAGGTGTATGTTATACATATATTTATAGTGAAATAATGTAGATCACGGAAACGTAATAAATGTTGTCATTGTAGGAAATTAATTTCGTCAAGTAGACGAAAATGTAATTGTTAGGAGTTTATTCAAAGTATTTTTTGGTCTATTTCGAACAAGTGTTGAAGAAAACAATAAATAGAAAGTATTAAATAATTTTAATGTTAATATCTAGTCTTCACGTATTTTCTTTACAGCTATTTTTACTGATAGCAATTTAAAGATGAGTGCCATATCTTTTCAGTAAGTTTCAGAGTTGGCCTAACTCAGAATCGAATCTCTCGATAGAATAGTTATTTTCCATATTATCTTTAGCCCCTATAATAATCTACACTATTTTTTGGGGTGTGCTCCTCTCGAATTTCTAATAAACAGTTCAGTAGATAATTCCTGGAGCGGTTGAATTCAATTAAATCTGCAAATCAATTCTCCAGAAATATTGAAAAACTTCCTTTTCTTCTCCATATTCTTCTGAGGATAATATTTATAATCTAATAACAATACTTATACACTCATATAAATAAGTAACATATTTTTTCAATGAGACTAACCCCAATACTCATATCGCAATAATACCCACGCAAGAGTAAATGATTTCTCTGTGCGTGTTAAAGAAATAAGTTCAATAACTGAGGTTCATATTTGAAACAGAGGAGTGGTGAAATCAAATACCAAATTCTTCATTAGATACGTTTACTTGAAAGTTAACGAAATATTGAATATTGTTGAATATTTGCTTGAACTTTAGTTAATTGAAATCAAAAAATGATAGATCCCGCATTGAAGTGTAGTTAATTGAAAATGCGAACTATCATTGATTTTTTGATGTGATGACAATGAAATCAAGTTATAGTTCATTTAGGCATTTTATCGACTGAGATCTCATTTTTTCATGTAAATGTTTCCATCATTTTCCGAAGGATTCATTCATGTTCTATAATAATGCCAAATTGTCTTGCAGATAATGACTAGTAATGTAGATGCATAACTCAAAATTAAGTTCTAAGTGGATAAGCATATCGGTCATAGTTATCATTGCCACAGAACATATCTTGCCAGTAGATGAATCATTTTTCAATGAACAACTTCTACATATTTCACTAAACTGGTATTCAATCTGCTGATTTTTCAATGTAAATAAGAGAATACCATATCGACTGTTATTGCCTGTATGTAAAAATAGTTTTTTGTTTGAATAAAGCAGAGAATTGCTTTTCAATTTATAGTTAGTGAATTACATAAAGAGGTAAACAAAGTCCATTCACCATTCAGACTACCGACCTCGTAAGAAAATGATTTGTGTCGATTCATTTTATATGAGGAGAAGTTTTCTATGGCCATTCGAATTGAAATCTGGAAAAGTTCTTAGAAGCATTTGCCACAGAGAAACTGAGATAATATCAAAAATATTCAAACATACCTTAGTTGAGCATTGAATAGTCGAAAATGAATACTATAAGTAAAGCACGTATCGATCAAAAATTAGAAATATGGTAACAATCCATCATGAGGCAATTGGCAATACCGCACAGCAATCATCACGAATGGCGTGTATTTTAGATAATTTGACAGTTTTTGACTAATATGGTTTTATCAACTTTTTATATCGGATATCTTACAGTAAATTTCATTTGTGAGTTTTACTATGGATCTTTAGCATTCCCATTCAATTTTCAAATCATAAAAGGTTGATAGAGGTAGTTTCTGAAACGTTTATGATAATAATCAATTAGGTGGAGATATGATCCTTTCCTGGAACATGAAATATACCTGAATAGTTTGATTTCTATTACAGATTTTCAGCTCTGAAATTTGCAAATGAAGAGGCTTCACATACCAATTATATCACTATTCAGTATTTCAGCATATTTATCCTCTATCGGTAATTCTCAAATAGGTAGGATCTCTCAATTATATCTTCCTAAATTTTCAATATTTTTCATCACGATCTGTTCTCAGTTAGACTACATCTTCGAAAAAGTACTTGGGCAAAACAATTTTTGACATACATTTTTCATAAGGTTTCGAAAGTAGTCGAAAAAGCGCCAAAACTTCGTGACCCATACATGTTTCTACCCTTCAACAAAACATTTCTTTCGTTGAAGGACAGTTCAATTTTTCATAATTCAATAAGATTCGCGAGGAATAAAAAAAAATTCTTTCGAATGTTCAATTCGAAAAAAGTATATGAACATGATTCTGTCAGAATATCTTCAGTTTGTTTCGAAATGTATCGATTGCAGAGATATGAGTAGGTAGGTACACGGCCATTTTTGATGAATTACTGGAAGAATACAACATATATCGAGATGACAGATACACACATTCAGTGATCATTAATGTCAATCAATTGTAATCAAGTAAACGCAAAAGCCAATGTATGCAATTTTTTAAACTTTTTTATGGGATAAATAAAGAAGTTGCAAAATCGTAAACAAAATTACAGCATATAGGGTACAGTTAACGGTCAAATTCCGACAAATTCACATCAATTCACATCAAAAATTAACATTTGTAGACAATCTTGTCTTCAGTATTATGGATTTTATGATTTTTTTCATTTTGAAACAATTGGATACTAATTCAAAGCAACTGATGGATCTTTCAAAAATCGATGTTTTTTGGCCATAACTTTTCATCCCGACTAGATTTAATTTTTCTCACTACATATACTTACATAAAACTATGCTATATTCACGATGTCCTCATGAGGATTAGGCAAAGATCATTCCGAAGAGGAAAGTGCTTCCGGAATCTTTTTTTATGTAGCATCCTAACTATCGAGATGAGCTAGGAAGCTAGGATATATTTACAATTCGATCTCTTTTAGTTGAAAATAAATAAGTTGTTCATTGGAAACTGAAATAATTCAAAAAATCTCTTCGCTTCTGATAATATAGGATGTTTGAAATATGAGATACTAAAACTTATAATTACACTGACAATTGTTTGAAATTTTGAATATGACTGTACATAAGCTTGAATAGTTCAAACTGGTTATAGATTATGTTGAATCTTAGAACACAATTTAAAATTTAGTGTAAGTAGTTGAATTATTGAAAGATTGTTTTTACTAGATCATTTTATTTTCATTATGAATTTGTGTACAATACGCTATGAAATATATTTTTTTCTTAAAAAATACTGTGTTCTTTCTCAAATCATCATCATACCTCACTGTTTCAAAAAGATAATTACCTTTTCATAGAAATATAAATCATAAAATGAAATCTGAATTAAGAGTTCACTGAAATCCACGAACGTATCAATTCTTGATGTACGAACTTTTCAAATTCGCACATGAACTAATACAGAATATTAATAGTTTTTCAAAAACTCATGAAATATTAATAACATTCACTATTGAAATAAAGTTTGAAATTCAAAAAAGCTAATTGTTGGTCATTTTTCACTTGATTAGAGGTTTCCATATGTTACTATATCTATGCTAGCTTGACTAAATGCGTTGTTGGACAACATATACGCGGCTTCTTTGAATTTTTTCTTGAACCAGTGTTCCTCTTTCTGGATGATTTCAGCTTGAACCCACTTGTTGATGAGTCCAAACATGCTCTGCTATTCCGGATTTACTGGTTTCTCCTCGCTGTGTGTGTGTTTCTTGTTCTCAGCAATGCGAACTTTCAAAGGCCTCTTAGTTTCACCGATGTATGATTCTCCGCACTCGCAGGGTATCCGGTGAATGCAATTCTTGGAATCGCAGTCCGCGTTTGGTGGCCTGGTTTTCTTGAGGCTGCTACGGATAGTGTTCTCAGATCTGAAGCAGGTCCTGATGTTATACTTAGACCCAATCCTTCTTATCCTTTCCGATAATCCTCTGATGTAGGGAAGTACAAATACTGGTTGTGGCGGCTTCTCTTCCTTGTGTATCTTTTGTTGTCTTCTAGCTAAAGCCTGTTCTACTATCAAGCCTGGACACGAATGGTTATTCCAGAATGATGGTAGAACAGGCTTTAGCTAGCAGACAACAACAGCTCCACAAGGAAGAGAAGCCGCCACAACCAGTATTTGTACTTCCCTACATCAGAGGATTATCGGAAAGGATAAGAAGGACTGGGTCTAAGTATAACATCAGGATCTGCTTCAGATCTGGGAACACTATCCGTAGCAGCCCCAAGAAAACCAGTCCACCAAACGCGGACTGCGATTCCAAGAATTGCATTCACCGGATACCCCCCTGCGAGTGTGGAGAATCATACATCGGTGAAACTGAGAGGCCTTTGAAAGTTCGCAATGCTGAGCACAAGAAACACACACACAGCGAGGAGAAACAAGTAAATTCGGAATAGCAGAGCATGTTTGGACTCATTAACATAATATCAAGTGGGCTCAAGCTGAAATCATCCACAGTGAGAAACACTGGTTTAGGAGAAAATTCAAAGAAGCTGCGTATGTCCAACAACGCATTTACTCAAGCTAGCGTAGAGATACGTAACATATGGAAACCTCTAATCAAGCAAAAAACGACCAACCCCCGCCAAACGGTCATCTCCCGCTAAAACCAATGAAGCGGAGAGATTACACTCGAATTACCTATAAATAGTCGGATCTAGGAGGAATAAGTCCAGTTATCACCCGAAGACGATTGTAGATACTAACAATCGAAACGTCGTAACGTAACTTGCTTTGGAATCTTTTAATTTTTATTTTTCATTTTTTGTTAATAATATTTTTCAGCTTTTATTATTCAATTTTGACTTCGAAATCAGTCAGTGCCTACTAAAGATGAGACATATATTCAAAATAGGTCATTGGGTCTGGAAATCAAATATGGCAAAATCAATTCTAAGGTGCCATGTAATTTACATTTTTATTGTTAGATTGTGCCTAGTCAATATTACTGCCTTCAACACATGAAATCTCGTTTTATTTTATTCAGAATCTTTTCTCTGTGGTTGATTTGCTTTTTGAAACACCACAGTCACTTTCCACATCTGACGGATCTGAAAAAAAATATTCCATTAAAATTTTACTGTGAAAATAAAAATAAAAAGCAATTACGGAAGTGGGCGATAAGTAAAAAAATTCAGTAATGAGTTTATTCTGGTGTTCAATTTGTGTTGTTTCAAATCGTACAAAATCAGTAAAACAGTGAATTTGAAAAATTGTAAGNCCCGAAACCGGTCTGCAAGTGTGCCCGTTTCTATAATTGAAAATGGATTCCAGCAGTTGTGTCGCACTGACACCTGTCGAATATAATCCAACGCCCTTCGTGGTATTAGCCAGGGGAATAGTTGTTTTCTGTTTCTTACCTACAGTATAGGTAAGTCGAGACTGGTTAATTTGATGTTGGGAAACAACTTCCAATTTGGAAATATACATTACGAAACTATTAGGGGCATTTGTAAATTTCCAAAAATGTGTGAATTTTTATTTTGATATGCTTTGAAATAATAAAATGAACTAGTCATCGGAGTCTTCAAGATCCTTGGCATAGGTATTATAAATTTCTCATAAATGGATTTTTAAACACCTTTGGATCAAATAATCACAGACGTACCCAACAAAGTTATTTCGTGAAAGTTCTGAATGTTGGTAATCTGTATCCATAACTTTCTTTCCCTTTTTTATACGGAATAAGTTCCTCGTTCAGAATTCAAGTCAATAATTCTCAATAATATTTCATTTCTGTATTCTTCACAATTTTCTGTTTCACAATTCATTATGTCCAAACAAATAATTTTTTTGAATTGGCACTAATACAGTTTTCATTTTTTTGTCGAATTTTTTCGAAAAAGTTTTCGATGTCATCTTGATTCACTTTTCTGGTGTGAAAATAGAAGAAACCCTTTGATTTCAAAATATTTCATAATTCTAATATCCCCTCAATTGTAACTTGCCAGCATTCAATACAATTCAAAGTATTTCTTATATCTTCTTCTTTTCTATTAGACACTTCAAGTCTGCCAAGGACATTGCATTCTATTGATGTTGACGTCTCGATAATTTAAGCAAATCAAACAGTTTGTCGATTTTTCCAATGCAGAGTGAAGAGACAGCAACTCTCCGGAAGCACTTTTTCGAAGTTTAAAGGATTGATATGGCTTTGCAGCATCTATCATTGGATACTTCTTATCCAGATTGTGAAGTTTCATGTTTCCACGAAATGTTTCTTACTGCTTTGCATAATACAACTTTTTTATTATATACAAAGGAGGACTTTTCATGGACAATACGTAATGAATTAACAAATTTCATATATGAAAGTCATTTTCCCGGTCTTCTGGCCGTGGTCTGCAGGTTTTATGCCTGACCTCTGGTCTACTACTGCGGTAGACGAAACTTCATATATCTACCCTTTTCGATAAAGTGTCCCGAGTCCTTAATAAATGATTCTGTATTTCCTATAAATGGCTGCAGTAGGATTGTCAAGTATTAGGACAGCTCATAAGTTAGTGAACTTGCATTTACAATAGCTCAAAGTGGCATTTTCCCTTTTTGGATTTTGGGTAAGCCATATAGAGAAGAAGTAAAGGTACTGGTCTCTCTGAACACAAGAGAAATTGTTTACTCAGACAAATCGACAAATCAGCTGTAGCCGAACATGTTCCCAACAAAAAAACATTTACATCATCTCATTAGAAAATACAGTTATACTCGATACAACTCAAAATTACTACCCGAGGGTATATAGAGAGGCAATAGAAATTCAAAAACACAGGGATACTTTCAATAGAGAAAAAGTGCCAATGGCTACCTGTCCTCAAAACAAGGTATGTCCTCAGTGGTACATAAATAAGATCAGGTAATCCAATTAAGAGAAACCAAGCCACGCTCACCAATAATTATATAAAATCAGAGTCAAATAGCAGCATCATAGTTTCTGCCTTGGAAACAACGGAAACAATAACTTGAGCACCAACTCGGGCACTGTGACCGTTACCACATCGCCTTTGATTATGTCTACCGCAGTAGTAGACGAAACGTCAGAAGTCTGTGGTGTCGTGTGTGTGTTCTACAAAAAACTTTCTTGTATTGGATAAATTGTGGGTACCGAATCAAAAGTCATATCCAAAAGTCAGTAATTTAAACCTGCATTCACCAAGTAATATGTCGTTCACTTGCATAACAATCAGTAAATGCAATTCTATCAAATAAGTGAATAACCAGGTTTGTGTACCGTTAAAATTGACTACAAGAAGTAGGGAGATATCAGAGTGCCAATTTCTTATCGCCAACAAGAACTGTATGTTTTTATATGAAGAAAACATTGGAGTGAACCTGCGATATATATTTTGAGTTGTAACGGTCTATTTACCAAAAATCCTAGAAAACTGGAAGAAGTCACTATGGCTATCACCGCTTTGGTGGAAGCTATAAACACAAGCTTCATAACGGGAGCATTCCCGGCATGTTTAAAAACAGCCATTGTTATATCCTTGCACAAAGGAGGCAACCCAGACAATGTTGCCCACTTTAGGCCTATTTCTATGCTATCTACCCTTTTTTTGTACCTTAGGAGCTGTCTGTCTTGTTCATTCAGTCCAAGTCTCCAGAAAACACTGCAGCTTCTTGGGCTTATTGCGTTTATTCTCCCATTTCCTCATGACACCCATTCCATCAGTCTCGTTCTCTGTACTAGTTTGTACAGGTTCCGTGTTGGATGTTCGTCATATTCTTCTGGACGTAATTTTGTACGTCCATATATTGCCTGCCTCCTGTGATTCAGTGCCTCACATTTGCATTAGATGTGTAGAGCTGTTTCTGTCCCTTCGTTCCATAATCTGCAGCTGAGGTCTCCGTTGTACAGCCTCATTTTATTCAGGTGTCCGCTAACCGGACAATGACTGGTTAGTAACCCTGTAATTATTCTGAGCCGATCCCTACTATATTGAAGTAGTTCTTCAGTTCTTTTCTCCGACGGTTTCCTAATGAAGGTTCTACTGTGTTTGTTGCCAGGTACTTTTGTCCAGTACTCTGTATGCTTCTTAGTGGTCCAAGTCCTAATCTGGTTTCGTACCAATGATTTTGGTACCCCCAGAGCTGGTTCAGGATGATCCACGTCTAGCGCATTCATCAGCTTTATCATTACCTGTGATTCCTGAATGCCCTGGCACCCAGTACAAAGTTAATTTGTTCCTGTTTGCAAGTTCATTCAGTTCTTCATGGCATTCCCAGACCAGTTTTGATGTCACCTTCGGGTTTGTCAGAGCCTTTAGTGCGCTCTTGCTGTCTGTAACAATATTGATCCGCTCATTTCTCTGAGGTCTCAATTTAATAAGCCTTGCACACTGCAAGATAGCATACACTTCCGCCTGAAAGACGGATGTGTATAGTCCTAGCGGATAGCTGTAATTTAGATTTCTATCCGCTCGGTATATTCCAGCCCCCGTTCCATGTTTGGTCTTCGATCCATCTGTATACCAGGTGTTTTTTCCAAACATGTTTTCGGGATGACTAATGGTCTTCCACTCTTCACGGCTTATGATTTTGGCCGTGAAGTTTGTGGTAAAGGTGTACTTCAGTGTCATGATGTCCGTGCACATATTCAATATGTGCTCCTCCACTTGTTCCGAAATTTCTGTTCGGTTCGGTCTATTGTAGTTCGGTGAGTTTTCCAGTCTGGCCTCCCCCATTATCACGAAGTGTAAAGGAGGTAGATTCAGGAGTGTCTCCAATGCAGCTGTTGGGGTAGTTCTCATTGCTCCCGTCATTCCCAAACATGCAAATCTTTGCACCTTGCCTAGTTTGTTGATGGCGGTCGCCTGCTTCATCTTTGGCCACCAGACCAGAGATGCGTATGTTATCATGGGTTTAACCACCATCGTGTATAGCCAATACACCATGTCTGGTTCAAGCCCCCATGTTTTTCCATAGGTGCGTCTGGCGAGCATCAGTGTTACCTCCGCTTTCCTCTTTATCCTGTCCAAGTGTGGGTTCCAGGTCAGTTTGGAATCTAGGATTACTCCCAGATATTTAACCTCCCCCGACACTTGTATTTCTTCACCTCGAAGTTTTAGAGGTCCGAGACCATCCGTTTTAGTCCTCTTGGTGAATGCTACTATGGTCGATTTGAATGGGCTTATGTTAAGCCCTTCTTCTTCGGTCAATCTTGTTATAATGTTCAGGGCCTGCTGCATGCATCCCTTCACTACATTATTGTATTTACCCTGGACTAAGATGACTAAGTCGTCTGCATAGCCCAGTGCTTTATACCCATTATGGTCCAAGAGACATAGTAGCTCGTCCATTACAAGGTTCCATAACAGAGGGGATAGAACCGCCCCCTGAGGATAGCCCCTTGCTACCCGTGTCACGACTGTTTTCCCCATAATGGTTGTAAATACCAATCTTCCCCTAAGCATGCAGTCTATCCACCTACAGCTTGTCTTGTCGATCCCTCTTCTCCTCGACGCCTGGATGATTGATTCTAACGACGTATTGTCAAATGCGCCCTCGATGTCCAAGAAAGCAGCTAAAAGTACTTCCTTGTTTTTGTAAGTATATTCTACTTTTTCTGTTACCCGATATAGAGCCGTTTCTGTTGACATACCTGAACTGTATGCATATTGGTCTCGATGTAATGGTCTGATAGCCAGTGATACGTCCCTGATATGCCTGTAAAGTAGTTTCTCTAGCGTTTTCAACGGAAATAACATGAGACTAATTGATCTCAAAGCCTTCGCCGAATCCTAAGCTTGCCCTGAGAATTATACAGAATTTTTTGAAAAGTACTTCCGGTCCCTTTTGAAGCATTACTGGGTATATGCCATCAAGTCCTGTCGACTTATAGGGTTGAAATGAGTTTACAGTCCATTTAATTTTCTCCATATCTATCACCTTCTTTGTCATTTGCCAGTCTTCTCTGGATGCCTTTTTCGAGGTCTCCAGTTCTGAATTCGCCCAGGATTCCGGTGTTAGATTTGCAATTTCTGACCCGGGAAAGTATAGCCGGAAAATCTTTCTGATAGTCTCTTCTCCGGTTTTTGTATACTCCCTCGTATTTGTTTTCAGATTATTTATTGAGACCTGAGGTTCCATCGAGAGTATTTTGTAGAGCCTGGCACATGCTTGGGTCTGTTCGACCTTCTCACATTGCCTTCTCCACGTATCTCTCTTGGATTTTCTCAGGACTTTGTTATACTCAGTTAGGGACCTTCTGTATTGGTCCCATGAACCTGATTTCCTTGCACATTTGAAGGCTTTTCTAGTTTTTTGTCTCATCCTCGCCAGATCTTCATTCCACCAGGGCACATTTCTGTTTGATCTCTGGTTTACTATGGGACAATGTTCGTTGTACGTAGAGATAAACTATCTACCCTAAAATCATATAAAAACTTGTTAAACAAAGAATTATGATGTTTGTGAATAAGTATAATATTATTAGTAGAAGTCAATTTGGGTTTCAGAGTTTGAAACACACGGAAGATGATACGTTTCATCTACTGGAAAACTGGAAATCTCAATTTAAATAATCGTGATATAGCAGCGGCAGTTTTTTGCGATCTGCCAGAAGCGTTCGATTGCATGGATCATGAAATTCTGCTGAAAAACTAGAAGTATATGGCTTTAGAGATATATCTTTGAAATGGTTCAGATCATACCTGTCAGAACGTACTCAAAAAGTTAAACTCACGGACAGTTACTTGTGATGTTCCACAAGAATCGGTTCTAGGCTCAATTCTTTTCTTGTTATACATTAACGACCTAGCCCGCATTAGTATAGCTGCAAACATTCGCAGATGATACTACATTATTTTGGCATTGCAAGAAGGAAAGGGAACTGCATGATTTGATCAGCACGGATATTATAAAAATAAAAGACTGATGTGATGCTAATCTCTTGTCATTTAATATAAAAAAACTACCCTCAAGTGCTCCACACTGGATATTTACCTGGGTACTCAATTATTAGTAAACAAAATGTCAGCAAAATTTCTGGGATTACAAATAGATAAAAATTTGGATTTTGAAGGTCACATGTGAAAAAATTTCATCAGGATGCTTTGCATTCAGAGTATCAGCAAATGACCTGAGCACTATTGTGGGAAAAAATGTGTACTTTGGCTCTCATTGATTTCCATCTGCATTATGATATCTGTTTTTGGGGAACGTGTTGCCAATATATGTTTGATAGGGCGTTTGTACTAGAAAGAAGAGGAATTAAAAATATGTGTAGAGTTGGATTCCGGGATTCCTGCCGAACTTTATTCACAAGGCATAAAATCTTTACCTTACCTTCCAATGGAAATGGTATGTCTGATGCAAAAAAACTATAGGAGGGAAATTTTCAGGTCGCCTCGACGAAATACGAGAAATAAGCTCAATATCGATTCCAATATCATCAAAAATTGGGAAGTCTTTCATATATAATGGAAAAAAATGTTTAACCATTTGCCAATTGAGATCAGAGGCTTAATATGTACCACTAAATTTAGAATATCTGTGAAAAAGCTTCTGATTTTGAAGGCCTATTATTCTTTAGACGAGTTCTATTCAGACAGAAATCTAAATTCTATAAACAAGCGCTTGAGAAAGCTATTGTATAGCGAAACACGTGTTGCGGTTTTTGTAAAACCCTTTATAATAGTGAAAATCTTACAATAAACTGTATAAATTAGTTTTCTTTTATTCAGGCCACATGTTGAAATTGTCTATGTAGGACGAAATTGCATTAATGTTAGTTGAAAATAAAAATGATATAAAAACATAGGAAGTTTTATTTCTCATTTTTCATGATGATATCTTATCGCGTAGTAACGGCTACATCCATCGATCACCTCTGAGTTGAATATTGAATAATCAAAATCAATATGTTATAAAACCATCTTCAAATTTTTGGGAATTGAAATTTCTATAATAATGAGAAGTGTAAATGATTGAAATTTTCCTTCAATTTTCCTAATTTTGCACTTTACTAGACGATGATCCAATAGAGGAGAACACGTTTCGATTTTAGATGATTTTAGATAATCTTGATTTAACCGATAGCCATCTTGATTTCGGGCAGGTTGTAGCCTGGCTCCCTTACCCTTCGGACTGATATCTTGATATCAGTTTTTGTTGGCAAAACTACGAATGTATTTTTCGGAAAATACTGCCTCACTTGAGTCAAATTGTATATTGTATGTATTCCAGATGGAATGTACAAATAAATAAACCGATTTTGATTTTTCCATTATAATCCATACAATATCGTTTTGAGTTTTTTGATTTTGCACGAAAGCTTCAGAGATAGTAGGTATTGCATGTATCTCAAACTATTGGCAATGTCAACATTAAAGTGAAGTTGAGATTGAATTCAATTTACAAAAAATATATTCACCTGTCAATGAAGGATCTTCATGATGTGTTCTATCCATTACTCCCTCGAAGATACAAGATATTTTCATTTTGGCTCTGTATTTCCGTGTGGTGAATGTATAAAGAATCGGATTAGATGCAGAATTTATTGGCAAAATGAAAACAACTAGCCACCCATACAGTTCATCTAAAACAAAAACAAACGTGTTACAAAAATATTCATGACTCAGAATGGAACCACATCATGATTGTTTGGCGGTTCATTTGTTATTTCTAGATGAATTTTCGATTACAATGATTTGCTTATTCTTATTCAATNGAATCTTTTCTCTGTGGTTGATTTGCTTTTTGAAACACCACAGTCACTTTCCACATCTGACGGATCTGAAAAAAAATATTCCATTAAAATTTTACTGTGAAAATAAAAATAAAAAGCAATTACGGAAGTGGGCGATAAGTAAAAAAATTCAGTAATGAGTTTATTCTGGTGTTCAATTTGTGTTGTTTCAAATCGTACAAAATCAGTAAAACAGTGAATTTGAAAAATTGTAAGATACTATGTTGACTCCCAATAATAGTTTTTTCATACATCTTCTATGTAAAGATAGCAATCAGTTACACTTCAATTGTATGTATTGATTTTGACCATCCTACTGACACAACAAATAAAATAGAATTATGAATCAGAAAAGTGGATTTGTTTGTTGCATTCAACCATTCAGTTTTGGTAATACCAACACCTCAGTTGAAATATACTGATTTTCTTTCCACGCGAAAACTTTGATATGCTTCTATACGCCATAGAGACCAAATATGTAATTTGTGTGAAAATAATCATCAGCTATATCATTTCCTGTCGACATCAAAACGGCGGGGAGTGTAATGGTATCGAGAAAGAAAACATTTCACAGTTTTAGAGTTGAAAAAGTTCAAATAATTTATTTTGACATTTCTAATCAGTATCATCAACATTTGATTCTTTATATTCAATCCTGAAAGTGCAAATCCTGTGAAATTTTTCACATTCATTCAGATTATATAAAAACTTAGTTGAAATGAAGAAATAAACTCTTCTTGAATATTTTGTCTGAGACTTCAATCGCAAGAACGTCAGTTGCTTGGTTTTTTCTAGATTTTCTAACTGCAAGAAGTTCATGATGTATTCGTCCATTCTCAATTCTTGAGGGAAACGTTTTACAAACTATAGATATACTCAATCAAACTTTCAGCCAAATCAACTGAACAATATTTTCATAGTATTTTTTTCAACAATTATTTGAGGGGATTTTTTTGAACTGACAGAACTTTTTTGGATACATTCATTAGTGTAAACCTGCAACTACAAGAAATATAACATATTTCTCACTCTCCAATTACAAAAATTAGTTGTTTCAGTTGTCACTTGCACCACAACAAAATCATCGTTCAATATTTTCACGGTCGGTTTCAAGAAACCGTGTTCCTCATTTAACTGATTGTATAGAATGAATCACAATAGTGATGATTTTAGAACCACCAAACCACATTTCTGGTTACTTTTGGAACACATCTTTAAAAAGCATCCAATACCTAAATTTTGACAACTGTGAAAAATTGGGAAATCAGAAAAGTAACGATCCATTTGTCCAGCAGATACCGCCAGGGGTACATTTTCAGCGGGTATGAATATTCGACATTTTCAATTTTGTGTTATGAAGAAATTTGTAATTGTAGATTACAATCATTTGCAATTTCAAGCAGTTTTCACAGCTTCATTACGGGTAAAATGTCCTCACTGAAATCAGAATATTTCCGATTGTTTCAAATAAGCCGCATAGAAAACTAGAACAGACCTGATATATCGTACGGATCTTGTCTATGCTGCCCTCTCTTAAGAAGAATAAAATATGTTTCCATATGTTACTATATCTATGCTAGCTTGACTAAATGCGTTGTTGGACAACATATACGCGCAAATCAATTCTCCAGAAATATTGAAAAACTTCCTTTTCTTCTCCATATTCTTCTGAGGATAATATTTATAATCTAATAACAATACTTATACACTCATATAAATAAGTAACATATTTTTTCAATGAGACTAACCCCAATACTCATATCGCAATAATACCCACGCAAGAGTAAATGATTTCTCTGTGCGTGTTAAAGAAATAAGTTCAATAACTGAGGTTCATATTTGAAACAGAGGAGTGGTGAAATCAAATACCAAATTCTTCATTAGATACGTTTACTTGAAAGTTAACGAAATATTGAATATTGTTGAATATTTGCTTGAACTTTAGTTAATTGAAATCAAAAAATGATAGATCCCGCATTGAAGTGTAGTTAATTGAAAATGCGAACTATCATTGATTTTTTGATGTGATGACAATGAAATCAAGTTATAGTTCATTTAGGCATTTTATCGACTGAGATCTCATTTTTTCATGTAAATGTTTCCATCATTTTCCGAAGGATTCATTCATGTTCTATAATAATGCCAAATTGTCTTGCAGATAATGACTAGTAATGTAGATGCATAACTCAAAATTAAGTTCTAAGTGGATAAGCATATCGGTCATAGTTATCATTGCCACAGAACATATCTTGCCAGTAGATGAATCATTTTTCAATGAACAACTTCTACATATTTCACTAAACTGGTATTCAATCTGCTGATTTTTCAATGTAAATAAGAGAATACCATATCGACTGTTATTGCCTGTATGTAAAAATAGTTTTTTGTTTGAATAAAGCAGAGAATTGCTTTTCAATTTATAGTTAGTGAATTACATAAAGAGGTAAACAAAGTCCATTCACCATTCAGACATAGGCTTCACTAATTGTTTTTTGTAATATTTTTATTATTTGAATTCGCCTTGTAAGATTTGGGAACTATTGTTGGAACAGAGTGTCAGTACCTGATTATTTTCGAATTGTTTCCATTTGCAATAAGTCTATTCAAATCCTCTTTTACTTGCTTGTAATATGCTCTTTGCTTTCTTGTTTGATCGCCGAGTATCATCACTGGCTTCAATTTATCTTTCGATCTCAAAACTTCCTTAGCATCTTTAAGATTAGCAAAAGTTACTTTCAGTAATCTGTTGAGTCCATTTCCAAATTTACCTATTCTTTGCATTTTGATCGAGTGTCGGTTATGTTGACATTATTATTTAGACCAAGAATTGTTTGTATTTCTTATGCATTCCTTTCGGCTCTATTCGGATTGGACAAGAGCACCGGCAGGATTCTAAAACCCTGCTCACATTCATCGCATAAAAATATTGATTTTTTTTCTTCAAAGTCATGCATCTCAACTCCGTACTAGACAGCTTCGAACGATCACAACATATAATTTTCTTACAGCCATCACAAATAATAACAAGATCCTCTTCATGACTCCTTTTATATGTTGAACATACTGGCATTATCCAGAAGGCATGTACTTACCCGAACTTGTCTTCGGGTAAGTAGGTAGGTACATGAAAACGAAGATTATAAAAATAATTTTGAATTTATCCCAACCTCACCTGAAATATCTGCTCCTGCATAAGCAGCTGTTTTAAATACTATTATAGGGAGCCAGCACAGACCATAAATGAAGACTATGAAAAAGAAACGTAGTACAAATTCATACACCTTTTTTGGTAATGGAGTTGCCTCTCTCGTTTTTCTTATGCTTATGAACATTCCAATATAAACAAAAGCAATGATGATGAGGCTGCAACAAAAAACTTGAAATAAAACTTTTCCATTCTTCGAAATGATTACCTTGTCGCGTTTATTCCAAATATTATAAATGCGGTATATTGCCATCCGCTATAATATGGATAAGCAATGTGCAGCGGAAAACATAGTCCATTTATTCCATAGAATTTTGTGTCATCTGCATAACGTATCACTGAAAAATATAATTCATTATGTATATATTTCAGCTATTCCAATGTTCTCAAAAGACAAGAATTTTCTAAATACCAATAGTAGACGACATCCTAAAATATGTAGGATAGGATAATGTTATACCCAACCAACACTTTTTTGTAAAGGTTGTGGGGTACTTGGATAGCAGGATGCCATGATTTTATAGACTACCTACCCAAATTATGTCATTGAGTCAAAAAGTATATTGAGTCAAAGTTTGTTAGCCTTGGTCTGCAAGTTGTTACGTTTACATTCGAAGTTCGAGTCTCCGGATTTATTTCATAAATACTGGGCATGTATCGTTCCTGACATTGATTGACTTGATACTTCTGAAGTTTCATGCAGATAAATAAACTGTATGTATGTTAATTTCATCTTTCATCCGATTCGGTAATCATTTCTGTGTTTCGGAATTCGTATCACCTTTCTGTATAGTGTGGGATGGTAGTTCTGACGTTTATTGTTCATTTTTTGTATGGTTCATGTTCGAAGAGCCGGACACTTATACTTCTCTCTACAAGGGCTCTCTTGTATATTCCCGGTGTTGATGAAGGCTCTTATTTGACTTCAGACTCTCTCTGATGGTGTTCGCTCTGCAGTTCATCTTCTGTAGACGAGAAGAGTATTGCAGTTTTTGGAGTTTTTCAGTGTTTGGCAGAGTTTTCCTCTCACTATCTGACCTGAAAGATGGCTCACGTAATAAACTAATCAGTCTGTCTAGTTACCTGCACTATACTATACACGAATCAGGCCAACTAACACAGCAAATAAAAATGAAGACAGGTATACTGCCGATGGAATAAAACCAAAGACCTGGACCTTGAGAGATGTAGGGAATGCTATGTGGACAACTAGACCATTTTCGTAGAGGAAGCGTCAGATATAATAATCTGGACACAGTATGTCGAGAGGAGATAAGGCATACATCCAACAAGAGACCTGTAGCAACTAGTTCAGGGAACAACATTTCTGGAATGGGTGTCACGGAAAAGATGAAAGAAAATCACAATAAGCTCAAGAGTGTTTTCTGTAAACTTGGAAGAAATGGTAAGCTCAGACGGCCAAGTAGCAAAAATGTTATTCTAACTGGATCTCTCTTCGAACTCTGCTTCGAATGTTCTAAGGTTTCGTTCAGTTTTGACACTAACTGGGAGCAAATTGAGAAATCTTATCATTGAATTCAGTAGATTTTCCAAAAATATAGCTAGAATGCTTCGAAGTCCCCAACGGATCACCTGTCGTTGTAGTTATACTATTGTGAATTCGGATTCGAAACAAAATTTTGTATATGTATCGTGGTGTTATATAGATTGAAGAGAGAGATATAATCCTCCAATTTTCAAATAATTTGGCATGTTTCATTTTGTTGGAGATTGTATATTAAATCATATTTTTTATAAAATTATTCACTGTGGTTCTGGCGTTGAATTTGGTCAATATTACGCCTTGGTCAAAGACGAAACGGACTGGTTTAAGTTTGACGATAGTCGTGTCACGAAGTATTCTGGCAATATTTTGAATTTATTGCCTCTAGAGACACCCTATATTTCATTTTATGAAAAAAATGACATTGGCAGATCAAGATCTTCAGATAATGTTGTGCTGCAAGTTTTTACGGATTTTCTTGCACCTGAAAAAGCAAATGCGCAACTGGAATCAATCAAGTCGCCCCGGAGTGCCAATTAATTCTTATTGTTGTTTTTGGTTTTATCGTTGTTTTAGTATAAACACGAAATAAAATTATTGCATTTTAGAGGCGAATATAATATTGCTACAGATGTGACAAAACACAAGGGCATACTATACATTGGATAATTGTTTTGTGGTCAACTTCACCTTTCAATTGATAATTGCACATTTCATTGAGGATGTGAACTTCTTAAAACTTTGTTTAAAAAAAAATCTGTTTTAAAATGTTTTTCCGTTAACATCTGTCGCACCCCTACGAACGACAACCCTCAGAAGTCGAAACTTGTGCGAGCTAAGGATTAACGAGGTCTTACCTTTTAACGTCTGATTCCTAACACGGCTTGGACGATAGCAAGTGAAAATCGATCGTTCAGCCTAGGGCTTGAATCACCGACCAACACGGCAGTCAATTCGAGTAAGTGAACAAAGCATCCACGTCAAACCGCCTGGCTACCGACTGACTACTCTGTGATAACTTGATGGCTCTGGTGGTGAAATTGAAAGCAGACAGTTTTGTAGCTATTTACAATAAGTGAATTCTAACGGCACTAAGATGTGAATCCACTCATTGAAGGATGAATTTTGTCTGCCAGTTATTCATTTATGTCAGTATCCACAGCTATTGTGGTATGATCGGCGTGGCATGATATCATATCAGAATTGATATGATGTGTCATGCCGTTCATGTAGCGGAATGAGTTAAGAATCCCAATACAGGGCCTTGTGTGGCTTCAAGATCAATTTCTTCTAGGATAGATTAGATTGATGAGTAATCTGATATATTTACAGAAATTCGTAAGAGATGACACCAGTCATCACAAAAGAATCCCAGGAAATCGAGGTATTTCTGATTTTGATATTGTAATGTCAGTACCAAAAAAGTCAAAGGCGCTTGATAGATCAGAAAAAAGGGCACCTGCGTATTTTATACTATGATAAATATTGATTCTCTTTCGATAAATATTTGTACAAGGTGTCCTTCATTTTTTACTGGAAGTATTCTTGTTCATTTTCAATTAGGAAACTTCATTTAATTGAATTTTCATTAAAACCAAAAAAAGATTCATAAATCCACCAGATCTGCGTCTTCCAGGACATCTCTGCAGCAAAGGTATGTATAGACTACCAACTTGCGATTGTTGGTATTTTCCATGTCCTTTTGTTGGTATTTTTCATGGCCTTTTTCAACTAAATGATAGAAAAACATGATTTAATAGTTTTTTCAATACAATATAATATTATTCAATACATCTGGCCAAAACCTTGTGTGTGTGACGTGACACATGATGACTACGATTCGCCATGTAATACATATGGGCGAAAGCAAATATTTTTAAAAGTTCAGTTGCGCCGTATTCTGGATTCTCTCGATAATCGAAATATTGCTTTTCTGCCACTGAGTGACTCTTCAACTGACCAGCTCCGAATAACCATATCATCAAATATATTTTCATTTAAATTATTTCAAGAGATTTCGCAGTTGTTCACAAACGCAACCTCTCAGATATCTTGATTATTTCAACAAAAGGCATCGATTTTTCAGTGTTCATGTGGTACTATTGAATATAAAAACGTTGTTTGCACTAAGGAAGTGAAGAAGAATTGTTTCTCTAGTGTATCTATTTCAACTCTATTGGATTTACTTCATTTTATTCCAGACAACCTTGGTTAGATATTTTTTATTATTGAAAATATTCTTCTCGTATGATAATGAAATCATCAGTTACCTGCTTTCTAACTGAATACTAAACGCTACATTTCCAACCTCTGAAACTGACTCACATATTTGAAGTCTGCTATCTATTTCGAAAATTGATGAAACAGCTTTTGATCTATGTAGTCAGTCTCCCTAAATATCTTTCTCGCACACTTTTTCGGTGACTTACTGAACTACGAACTGGAATAGCGAATGAAAATAATATTTTGATTCATTTGTAAACACTGTTGACATGTTTAGATTATCTCGTCTAAATCAGATGCCTGCAAAAAACTCACCTGGAATAACTGAGATGGCAATACCCAAACACCAAATAATTGTCAAAACAATAACAGTGTCTTTTTCATTCAGTGATTTGTATTTTCCATATGAAGTTACAATAACCAAATATCTATCGATAGATATGAACAGCAGGATGAAAACAGTAACTTCTGAAGAAATCATTGCTGTGATTCCTGTGAAGGTGCATGTCCATGAAGATAGCCATTGCTCAGACATCTCACCATATACTCCTCTAAATTTCACATCATAAATCCCAATGATGATCAAATAAACGCCCATTAAGAAGTCACTAGCTGAAAAGTTGAATAATTTCAAAGTATTTCACTACCAATTCATAGTTTATGACATTAACATCAATTTCAAGGTGGTGTTGGTTAATATATATAATACGAGTTCAGTGTACCAAAAAACAGTTTGGAATCTTGTAAACTCATTGATTTGAGTTAGACTTCACCAACGAGATTGCTTTATAAAAGTTATGTTCAAAACATTTTCCACGTCACTTCTAATAGGGGAGCCCAAACAGGGATTTCGGGATTTACTAAAGCGCGGCAGATTAATATGCAGGGGGATACCTTGTACCCGATTAAGTACCTCCACCAAATATGAGCCCCATATATAAGGCCGCCTGTGAGGGATAAAGGATCAGATATAACAAATATGTATTCAACTGGAAACAATAACTAAAAATAATAATATATTTCTGTTTGGACTCGGCTTGAATGCCCATTTAAACTAAATATCAAAGGTATTATCTGAACATTATACTGCACTTGTCACGAATATAAAAGAAAATGATCTGAAAAATATTTATAAGCTGAAAATCATCAAGGTAACGCCCAATAAAATTGAATTTATTCCTCATGTGACTGAAAACCAGATATTCAGAAACGTGAATGAATTGAAAGAAATGAAAATTGTGTTGTATTATGATCTATGTTATGAAGACCGAATGAAGAATAAAATACTAGTTCAACATATGAAAAAGTATCGCAGTATAAACCTATCCGCCTAAATCAAAGTAGGTATAGTACGCGCCAACTAAGATGATATTTTGATGCACATTCAAAACCAAATTATACACGCCCCAGAAGATAGCTATTGGTCACACAAACTGATGTCAATAGTATATTGGCAAAATATAATTAAGTGGGCGGAGTCTTTCAACACAAAACGATTTTATGTTTCTGCGCTGACTCATTTTAGTTCGCGTCGACTATAAACCTTTAGTTAACGCTGAGCTCTATACAGACAGGCAATTGAAAGAAACGTCGAATAATGAGGAATTTGATCTAGAAAGAGGTCAAGATCATTGTCTTGAGGATGACGTTGCAACTGAAAACACAAAACATTCATTAGAGTCGACACAACCCACTGAAGAACGAAAACAAACAGTTTCAAAATCTATAGATAGAACTGATGGCCTAAAGGCTAAAACATTGAAACTGATTGCAGATTGCATACTAACACCATTAATAAAAATTATATATATATATCGTTTGAAACTGGATAATTTTCATCAGCTTTCAAACTGTCGGTAATTACGCCTGTTTATAAAAGTAAAGATAAAGCTGGAATGACAAATTACAGACCAATCTCAATGACATTATACGAGTATCATATCATGTCAACAGGAACAAGAAAAAATCCAAAAAAAAAAATCAACAGTGCATTGGATAAGGGAAACTCAGCAATTGCTGTATTTATCGATCTTGCGAAAGTTTTCGACATTGTCGACCACTCCATACTTCTGAAGTTATTAGAAGATATGCGAGTAAGAGGTGTAATACATAAATTATGAAGGAGTTATCTGACGAACAGAAAATAAAAAGTAAAACTCGAAAATGAAATGAGTTCTGAAAAAACACCAACATGTGTTACCAATCCTTCGAATAAAATTAAATATCTTTGTAGGTATTACAATGGTCCACATGTAAGATCCCATCCCATCAATTATCTACGCAGAAAATTGCAATGTAGCTTCAAGTAAAATAAGAAGTAATTGAATTTCAGACAGAAAAACATTCTCTTTCAAAGTTTAGTCGAACCTCGCTTGAAATATCGAATCATACGATGGGGATGAGTATCGTGGAGTCATCTTGAAACCCTCGAAGTAATTCAGGAGAAATTTTTGAGAATCATCATTAATAAGGATCGACTTTTCATACAAAGAGACTGAAATGATTGATATAAGACTTGCTTATACCACTCCTACTCTTTGTCTATTTATTGAAAAATTTAACTGCCAATGTTGTTTATATTGTGGCAACTTCCAGTGATTATTTTAGTTTATTCATTAATTGTTTCACGTTCATGTGAATATTAATTGTACACATTCCTGTGTTGAAACATTGTTTATTTATTCAATTACCAATATAGGGGTTACAAACAGATTAACAAATCCAATAGGGGACCCACTTTATAATTTTAGTTCAAGTGGGCTTTGAGAGAAAACAATGTAAATTTAAATTTTTTGTAAATTACATTGGACAATCGAAGAATAACATAATTNGAAACCAACGGACATTATAAAAACCCTTCATAAGAAGTACATAAAAACAAAGCGGTATGTAGTACAGTCAGGGAAGTAGATATTTCGGAAACGAAATATCTACTTCGTTAAAGGTTTCAAGCATTCTATAAAGTGGTGAATTTTGAGCAGCATTTGTCCTTGTGCAAGTTAACTTAAAGAATTCTGTACGCCTCAACGTTCAATTATATTTTTGTTCCTGGAGAATGAGATTGACACGCATTTTTCGTGGATTGAGAAACAAATCATTATCATCACAGAATTTTTTGAGCCGATTCAAGTCCTCCTGAATTTCTCCGCTGATATATGAATTATTTGTGTGATAGATTTTCAAGTCATCGGCATATATTAAAGCAACTAGAGATTTCGTTGATGTACAGAATGAAGAATGAAGGACCCGAATGGTTGCCTTGAGGAACTCCGGAGGATACCGTGAAGGGGAGTGACGTAAATCCATTAATGTATTGTGTTGTATTGTGAAACAAAGAACCTACCATGTTTCAGTAAACATATAAAGGTTTGCTTGTTATTTTTTATTACTCCTTCAACGCAGTAATCAACTACCAAAGACGAAACTTCACTCATCCGGAGGAGAGTTGAAATTCCTAAAACTTGAGTTCAATTTGTTATATTCCAGCAAATTATATATATTTCCCTAAAACATTGCGAAAAGACAGATCTATATTTCGAAGTTACGCTGTAAATAAAGAAATATCAGACAAACCCGAATTCAATTCGACATTTTGAAATATTAGACACGTTGAATCTCTGCCTATTTCAGACTCTCGTAATCATAGCCAGAATCAATAAATATTTCAGATGAGTATTTTCTATTCAAGGAGCAGGTTACAAGTAACCTGTCACAAGTTAAACTTTGAAACATTTGTTGTATTAGTCCTTGAAACTGAAGGGATAACGATCGTTTCCCCTTTCCTTGAAAATGAAAGTTTTTGAAAAATTATTTTTTGAAAGTGAAGTATAACATGTTTATGTTCACAATAAAAATACACTAACCTGCTAAATTTCGGATGACTAGGTTCAAAATTTTATTTTCGTCTCTATAAAACAGCCGACTGAAAATTACTAAAAAATTTGAAATGCATATTGCTGAACTGATTACCCAATTCCAGAATCGAAAAATGCCCTTATTTAAAATGTTATTGGCAGAAGAAATACCTGTAAATATAAAAAATTAACGGCTCATTTTCTCATACCAATAATACATTACCATCAGAAGCTCTGCAAGATAACACCTTATTATAACGGCAAATAAGGTTTTTCAGTTCTATACGTTTCAATTCTTTCAACGAATCGAACATTGAGGCATCTATTTTAAGGATGTCAATATCTCCAAGATTTCTGAAAATTTTAAAATGAAATGATTTCGAAAAAAACCGTCTATGAAAACCCACAGATGCTGCAACTGAGTCAAATTCTTGAAAATAGTTCGAGGCAAATTCTCCAAGGAATTGCGTCCTAAATATCTGCAAATGGATTCATTAGTCGAGTCAAACTTTTGTCTACAATGGTATCAACTTACAGTTTTGTCAAATTTTTCTGATTCATGAATGTAGATGAATCCAGCACTGTGAGGCAGTTATTATATAAATTCCTGAAAATAACTCTCGAGTGAAATATCGATGAAAAACAATAATATGTAAACGGTTGAAGGAATATAAATGGATTTATGAGAAGGGACTGCTACGTAGGATGCCGAACAGACTAGGCGAAATCCGATTTGATACAAACCCAAACATTTTTTTCAATACCTATGGTTTTCTCCCAATTTTCAGTATGGGCACCTTTCCACAGTATGGTCATATTGTCTGTTGACTTGTTCAGATATACGAAAAATTATATTGGACCGAACCCTGATCCTTCTGACATGAAGAGTGATGACATTTCTTGTAATAAATTTTGTCAAATTGTCACCCAACGAGCAAGTAGAACTGATACCATTAAAGAATAATATTCAGAAATCCATAATGACAACCCTTGATGACTATTTCAGTGGAAAGTATTCAAGAAATCTTGGATTACTGACCGATTTTCTCAGCATCATCATCAATGTACATTTTTTCATGAGCATCGTTAGTATTCTTCCGCAGAAATTTCAATGAAACTAAAGGAACTAACATCTGAAATTATCATCTTGAGAGTTTTCGTCAATCTGGCAGAAGCTTCAGATACTGTAATTCATGAACAATTGCTAGATACGCTTGAATGCCTAGGAATACGGAAAGGTTTAAAAGATGTTTCAAAGAAATTCTCAACTGGTGTAAGATAACGTGATATATGTAATGGAACTGGGTCGATATTAAATGTAAATACATTATAACGTATTCAATTAACACATTATTGTAAGATTTTTCACTCGACAAAACCGCGACACATGTTTCACTATCCAATAGTTTTTTCAAAATAACTTGATAGATAGTAATGAAAACACTATTCAGTGAAAATCTCACAATGTATTGTTATTTGAATACGTTGATGAGTTGTGATCGAAAAGAAAAGAAAGAAATGCAACTTACGGGGCCTTCTAGGATACTCTTTTAGACCAGGCTCTTATCATAGCCTATATATGTTACTATTTGATGTATGGAGGACAGTTGAGACCAGGTATGCGATATATATCCTGACGGAATGATGATGTATTTTTGACACAAAAAAACCTGCTAGTATGAGGGGAGGAAAGCCCGTAAGGCTGCGTCTGTTGAAAAACCTCGCAGTATTCGAAGCATATCATGAACTCATCTGCTTTTTTTTCAATTGTTCAGAAAAAATTAATCGTTTTCAGAACTAGACTTTCAGATAATTCAGATGAAAGGGAAATTCCAATATGGACCTAAAGCATTAGTGCAGAAATAGTTTTAAATCAAGTCGGTATTTCGTGCAGTGAGGAATATCACTGCTTTACCTCTGTTTCTTGCAAACAGAAAATAGTATCCCAAAAGATTTTCCTGGTATTACATTCATCATGAATCATTCAATACTCTCAAATGTTTGTTCAGCAAATTAGCTAATCTTCATCTTCTTCTTTATTCTTCGTTATTTTTACTCGATTCTATTTATTATTTTTCTTATCTCATTATCTATTTCTCTTACAAACGTCAATGACACATTTGGCGAAAACTTGTTGTTAGAACCGGCAAAGCTATTATATGTGGAAGAGCGCATTATTGCAACAATCCGCCCAGATGTGAAAAGCAAGTCAGGATGAAATACACTCATATTCAAAATTAGAATGATCATGAGACTGTATCTACAAAAAATTCCTCACATGAATTTTGGAACACGTTCCAAAGTTCAACATCAAATCGAATTCGTAGATCCGGTACTTAAAGTTGAACACTTTTATTCATTTCAATAATTATACCATTTTCACACTATAAATTGTATTTAAGGCGCGTTTCGCTATACGGTATCTTCATCAGTTGGACCCGTCCAAACGCGTCTTGTATAAAATGTATTGTGAAAATACTATAACTAATAAGATGTAACGTCGGTACCCGGGCGGTTCGACGTGGGTGCTTTGTTCACTCAGTCAACCGGCAGATGTGTGAGTCGATGGTTCAAGCCCCCGGCTGAACGCTCGATTTTCACTTGCTATCGTCCAACCCGTGTTAGGAATCACACGTTAAAAGGTAAGAACTCGTTAGTCCTTAGCTCGCACAAGTTTCGACTTCTAATATTAAAAAAATGACTCATTCACATGAACCAGTGTCGACATGACCAAGATAAAGTCATACAACTGATATTACTGTTGAAATATCTTGAAAGTCCTACAAAATATTCCTCAGTCATTTTATAAATCATCAGCAAATGTTTCTGACAATATTTTCAATCAGATTCTCAAAATTCAAAGACAAGTGGTCTCAGAATATGTTGGAATGTAATGAGTCTTCATTGGGAGTATATAAATGATTGAAGCATAACTCAGTCTGATGGTGAGAGCTTTTCTGAAATATATAGTATATAGTTATTATAATATTGAAAATAATGTTACATGAAGGAAAAATGTTCACAGATATAAAAACCTAACCTAACCTTCCCATCTACATCCATATATAGTACTTACAATTCAGTCAATTCATTCAAAACTTCAAATGATCCTGGATCAACACTCTCGATACGATTATTAGCAAGGCTTCTGAAATTGCAAGAAATAGTATCTTCACATTATACAATATAAAACTAGGTGTACTTACATCTGCCGAAGCTTGGTCAAATTGCGAAAAATATTTTTTGAAACGACTCTTATGAAATTATTCTCCAAATATCTGAAAAAGATGTAAAGGATGTTGATATTTTCCCGGCACTAGTCATCAAATTTTCTCATATACCTGCCGAGTAATTCAATTATCTTTTGAAATCTAATGAAATGATTCTTCATTAACTAATATTCTGAAAGTTTTTCCGCTAGCGCCACCGAATGTAAATATCTACTAAAGAATTTATTCTTTGAGATCGTAAAGAGATGGGTTAGGTAGGTCCAAATTGAGTAGGTCTTTTCCGACCTCCACTGCAACCCGCGAGTGTTTATTGTGGCTCATACATTTCCGAACTCGGACAAATAAATCCATATTCTTGACGAAGCCGATTTGATGAGTGATCTTCAATGTCAACTGACGAGGGTGAAAACCGTATGAAAATCCGTTCAATATTTTATCGTGTTCGGACAGATGCCCAGCAAGGAACTTCAATCATCAATAGCTATCTATATTAAGCTTGTAACTACTGTCTGTCTGTTTATATACTTATCTCTGTGCTCATCTAATCTCAAGAACGGCTCAAGCGATTTTGGTTTTTATTAAAGTATAATTTGTACTTAACATTTAGTGTATGATTCATTCAAATTTATTCATTACTGAAAAAGTTGTGACAATTCAACATCAGTTGGAAAAAAATACTATAAAATATTGTTCGGCTGATTAGGTTGAAACTTAGGATAAAGTTGCGGGCACAAGTTACTTTGAAATATGTATTGAGTGTGAATGAAGCGTTCCTGTGTACGATCTGTTCCAATTCCATAAGGAATGTTTTGATTACGAATTGAATATAAAAAAGTGATTTCCAATTTAATGTTTATGTATTTGGGAGAAATTGATTCGAATGTTCCTGAAAAAACTGAAAAAACTTCTATGCATGATCTACAAATCATTGGAAAGGTAATTTTTCAATGTATTCGATTTTTTCTTCCTTTTTTGATTTCCCATTCAATGATGCAGAAGTAGAGAGTCAGTGCGTTTTTTTTTTCGATATACATGACATTCAACCAAAGAGAAATGTGATATTGACACATATTTTATAAGCATATTGAAGAAAGATACTTATAAATATCATATGACGGCAGCTGAGAAGGCATGACGGTGATATTGATAAAAGACATGAACGAAAATGAAAATTCCATTGGTTAAAAGTTATACTCACAATTTCTCGAGGGCATACATTTTTGGAAATGTTTCATTATCAAGGCTCAGATAATTGTGGCTCAGGTGACTGCAAAATGAAAAATTCATCTCATAATTTACTATTGATATCTTCCGAAGTAGAGATAAATATTTTAAATGTATTAATTTTTTCATTCAGATAATATATTATGAATACCCATTAAACTAGAAGCATTATATTTACACAGTGAAGACGTAAAAGGACTTTCACACAATCCAAAAGATATGAGGTTGAACAAATTAAGCTCACCTGGAAGGTATATTAGTCCTGTCAAATTAGACTAAAAAATAAGAGTGAAGGTACATAAATTTACAACAAGCTGCAAATGCGTGTAATTGTTCAAAACATAGTTAAAAATGAGATTTTGAAATTCCGAATGATTGCGATGCCTGGAAAAAAAATTATTCGAGGTCAAAGGTCAAAAATCTCGAAAAAAATTGGTTTTTCGCGATTTTCAGGAAAACGGTGAGTTTTATCATAAAATAACTTCAGATAAAAATTATAAATTCTCTAAAAGAAATGTATCGATACTTTTTTTTGTTAGAGTCACCGTTTCTGAGATACGATGAATCAAAAAGTTGTAAAAGGTGTAATCGTCATTATATGCATAAGTATGCCACGTATATACATCTCTGAAGTTGTAATTTGAGTAAAAATATTTTTCTATTGGTATACATAAGTATAAATATAAGGTAGAATGAAATCCAGTCCCTTAATTTGTACGCTAGTGTAACCTTGAGCCAACATCTGTCTCCCTGTTCAGTTCTGTGCCTGGCTAGGGTCGTATACTTGCTTTGTGTCAGAATGTCCAATAAATAAAATACCGTTAGTCTTGAGCGCCACGCTGTGGTAAAAACACGTGTTTAACATAACCATTTCGTGCTGTTTTGAGTTTTATAATAAAAATGTCCGAATATTGTTTCATTTTGCGAAAAACTTTTAACTGAAGGTAAAATTGTTACTGTTGAACGTGGTATGCTCGAAAGAGCAGATGAATTTTAAGAATATCTGAAAAGTCAGAAATCTGTGACAATACATGAAGATTGTCGTAGAAATTATACTCGGAAGTGTTCTATTGCTGTAGCTAAAAGACAACGCGACGAACAAGAAGCCAGTACAGCAACAGTAGATCCTCCTCGTACAAGATCACGTGTAAGTGATTCAGCTTTTTGTTTCACAAATCTATGCTTATTTTGCGGCAAGGAATTGAATGAAGATCATGAGAGAAGAAAATCCTTGATTCTCGCTGTCGAATTAGTAAAGTAAATATTCTTAATTTTAAAGATTCAATTTTGGAAGTAGCTCGGACTCGTTCCGATGCTATAGCAGAAGCTGTTATTGCTCGAGTAGAATATGAATATGATTTGGTTGCTGCTGAAGCTAAGTATCATCATGATTGCTATGTTTCTTTCTTGAAACCTTCCATTGGGGGTAAAGTTGGTCGTCCTAATGACGAAGCTATGGATCTGGCAAAAAAAAAACAGTGGTGAAGTCAGTTCACTTTAAATGAATTAAGTAATGTTTGCGAAACTACAACCTTAGATAACAGGACGTTAAAGATACGGCTGAAACTTAAGTACGCGGATAAACTTATTATCACTGAAAAATCGGGAGCATCAACATGTATATGCTTAAAAGACAACCATCATGATATTTTGAATCAAGCTTCGGGTGATGACTGTCACATCATCCGAAGACGATTGTAGATACTAACAATCGAAACGTCGTGAACTAACGTGATTTGGAATCTCTCCACTTTTTATTTATTTATACTTTCTTTTTTCATTCCTTTATTTTCATTTAATCCATTGTTCTATTTCTACTTGTATTTTATTTCATATTATCTCATTTCAGGTTTATTTTGCTTAAAATAATTGTTATTTTCAGTTATTTATTCTTAATTTTCCTTTTTTAGTTGTTGTAGGGATTTCAAATCATTTTATATAGTAGACAATGGAAGTCCGAACTAGTGAAATTCATCATGAAACATTGTCAATCACCTTCAAACAAACTATTGATCATGTCCATTTTGTTATGTAGCGTATCGTTATAGTCAGTTCAAATGTTATCTAACCTCAATCATTAATTATTCAAATCAAATAAATAAAAAAACATCCTAGCAAATAGCCCAAACAAATTTCCACATAAATGCGCATGAGCAACGGGAACAGTTCTCAACAGTTCAGCCTCGAGAGCAAGAACGATTCGGGACGGTTCAAAACAGTTTAGGATCATTTTGCAGTCGAAACCAGAATAGAGGATTCATCAGGCCAAAATTATCCTCAATAAACCATGCGCATGATCCTGACGTCCTAGAACCTGAATTTCGTAGAACCAGAACCTAGTATCGCTCATCAGAGACCTCGCAGATATCAAGGCTGATCCTAATCAATCTACTACTCCTGTCAGCTTAGAAACCAAACGTATTCTTCAGGAGATGGAATACCAGGAACTCCAATTAATTAATTTTCGGCTTAAAAAAGAGCCCAAATGATTTCACAATTTAACAATGGCAGGAGTATGAGAAGAATGAAATTACTTTTGTGCTGCATTTTCTCTCACCCCAGACGAATATGGAGAATAACTCCTACATGGCTTAGTAGGTTTGATCCGTCGAGAAATTTCCTCGTCCCCTTAAAATCAAACTTCTATGCTCATTATTATTACAAAATTGCATTCCAATTATGATCAAAATGAAATATACTTTGGTGCACGTTTTCATAAGGAAGGCTGAACATTCGAAATTCAATATGATAGCATTCATATTTTCTTGGATTGTACACAGCACCAAATTACAGAATTTCGTGCTGTCAGAAATGAACTTAATACCCAAAAGGCGAATGGAGTTAACAATTCGATAATTGAATATATAAGCGTAGTCAAGTAGATAACAGATTTCACATCAAGTTTGTTTCCAAAACGTACGAGGTCTTATTACCAACTTTGATGCCTTCTTCGTTAACTGGCTTACAACTGAATATTACATTATTGGACTGGTGTACGGATCAGCTAGACTTAACTACGATTCACAGTAGTTTTCCATATCTAGGCATGATTGGATGTCAAAGCGTCTATTTGGTTATTTTATGGTTCACACATATGTGATTTATATTCCACCTCAGGTTGATAGTAATGATTTAAGTTTATTTTTGAAATTTTTAGAAAATGTTGTATTCGGTGAAGAAAATATTTCTAATTATAATCTAATTATGGATTCAAAATGTAAATCAGTAAAAAAAATCTCTAGAACAATCACTTAAAATTATTCTTGTGGCCTTTGTAAGGAGGTTTCTATATCCATATAGAATCTTAAGAGTTCCATAAGCCTTTTGAATACGTTGTTTACGTGGGTTTTGAATCTTGAATTACTTTCGAGAATAAGCCCCGGACTTTTATCTTAATCCACGATGGACAGGTCCATTTGAAAGTATTTTTATTTTTACTTTGTCTTCAATTATCTTCCTGATATTTTTTGCCCAACGATTGAAACATGACTTTCTTGGGTTGTTAACTAGACAATGATCAGTTGCAGTATCAACGAAATTATTGATTTATGATGATTTATTGATGTCTTTATTAACTTGTACGCAAGCCTTATCAACACCTTCAGGTTTGAAAGAGATATAGATCTGGCTGTCGTCTGGGTATAGATGAGAAAAACAATGTGTAAGGGAGTCAACGAGCTGACCAGTATACAGACACACAAAGTAGTGAACATAGGATTGGCACTTACGACTTCAATTCGCCTGATTGGCTCCTTACTAATATCCTCCCCTCCAGATAATTATTAAAGAATTCAACACCATCTTCAGATGTTCCCATATGACACAAAATTGACATTATTACGTCATAGTTTATAGTGTCAAATGCTCTATTGAATTGGAGAAGTATCAAACCTGTACATAAACCTTCTAAAGCTGTGAGAATATTATCGACTATATGCAGCAAAGCGGTAGTTCAACTATGTGTTCTTCTGAATCCAGATTGTGTCAGATTCAAACTGATTTTTCATTAAGGTAATTCGTCAACTGATGATCAACAATTTTTTCCAACAGTTTTGACATCGTGGGTAAAATACTTATAGCACGAAGGACCTTCAGTTCTTTGGGATTAGTAGTTTTCAAAGTGATAATATTAAAACCTTCTTCCAATTTGAAAGAAAAACATTATTGATGAGACAATAAATGATGATATAGATGAAAGAAGGAAGGATCACTTGACAGCATAGAAAAATCATTTCGATATCCAAACCGTCATACCCAGTTGCATTGGTTTTTTTTTTCGTAAACCAAAGACTGTTCGACTGGGGATATTTTAAAGTTGGAGTTATAAAATACATTACTATTATATTGGGATATAACATCAACTGATGGAGAGATAACAAAAAAATTATTGATTTCAACTAAATTTTGCAAATGAGATGGGATATCAGTTTTATCCTTCACGGGTAGAACTTTATTACTTTTCAATATATTTCAGCATTGTTTATTATTAGATATACTGAGCTTCTCTTATATATTCAATAATACAGCTCTTTCAGTGTATGAGGAGGCAGAATATTAAAGAGTTTCATTTTACAGTAAACTGACGTTTGTTAAGCGTATAAATAACATGATATCTTTCGGTATGAAGAGTTTGGGGTTTGTAGTCTGTAAACCATTCACGAATATCTTAGCGTTGAAAACTATATTTTTCTTCAGTTCGCTCCAAATTGGAATATTATACCTAAATTAGTGTGGAATCTTATATATGATTAGACATCACTGCTCTAGAAAATGTCCAGCGACGTTTTTTAAATTTTTTCATTAGAGATATTGATCAAACTCTTTCATCAAAAAGATTCAATGTAACTCTCATAGCTTACAGAAGAATTTCTCATAGTATCACATTTTTGTTCGAAATAGTTTATGGTTTTATAGATGCGTCGCACATCATAGCTGAATTGAACTTTAATGTCCCCCAAGAAGTAACTCGAAAACATTTTATTTACCTAACCGGAGGACTAATATAGTTATAATAGTGTGCAGTAATCTCAATGATTATTTCTC